GGGAGATTGAGCAGCTGACTGGGAGTGGGATTGTGGCTCTGGTGGCTGTGGAAGAAATGGGGGAAGTCTGGCACAGTCTGGCTGAGCATTCAGAGGAAGACCCAGGGCCATCCCCTCTTCATCCTAGGGCACGCAAGAAGGAACGGAGAAGGGAGCAACGTGGCTTAAGGGAGAGAAAAAGGCCCTGATCCCTTTCATTAATTGCAGCTGGGAGAACAGGATATAAGAAGAGCGTTTGCATACACCGCTTTGCTGGAAGCAAAGCGTACATTATCTTCGTTGAGGCTTATCTGGGTTTTGGCGTCCTCCCAACTGTGTGTGCTTCGTTATCATTTATTAATTTATTATCCTGGCCTGTCGTGTTAATTACTTCAGCGTGGTTTGTGTTGGGTTTTTTAATATCTAATTTATCTGTACTTTGGGTTCGGACTGCATTTCTTCCCTTTGTAGCCTGTTTTTGGAAGAGTTGGATCTCCAGCCGAGGATAACTGGACATTGGGGGGCAAATTGGAGGTATTAAAGGGAATTTATCTACGTTTGTGCCTTTGATATTTTTGTGCCATGCCCCGGGTCATCACACCCCATGTGCTGGGATGAAAAATACTGCTGCAGGTAAAGTAACAAGAGATTCCTTCATTTATTTAAATCTGATGGTTTTGGAGAGCTCTGAAACAGATGTGCAAAGGTTTTACCAGATACAGATGTTTATATGTACAGCTACAGTCTACTGTGGAGGTTATCTGTTACTAGTCTAGTGAGAGGACCAGGGGAGACATGAAAGCAGTCTTCCAATATTTGAGGGGCTGCCACAGAGAGGAGGAAGGGCTCGAGCTATTTTCTAAAGCACCCGAAGGCCAAACAAAGAATAATGGATGGAAACTGAACAAGGAGAGATTCAACCTGGAAATAAGGAGAAACTTTCTGACAGTGAGAACAACCAACCAATAGAACAGAAGTTGCCTTCGGAAGTTGTGGGAGTGTCATCACTTGTGGTTTTCAAGAAGAGATTGGATTGCCATTTGTCAGAAATGGTGTAGGGTCTCCTGCTTGTGCAGGGGGTTGGACTAGGTGACCTACCAGGTCCCTTCCAACTCTGTTATTCTGTCTGAAACTTAACCAGTCAAAGCAAGGAATCCTTAATCTCAAGCCCTGAAAGAACTCATATATCACATACATCCTATATATTATGATATACCTACTTATCGTATGTATGTATACGTGTTGGTATCATGTTTCATAGGATAGACTCAAGATCATGTGAAGTGTTAATATGTTATAATGCCTTGGTAAGACCACACTTGGAATATTGCATGGAATTTTGATTGCCACAATATAGAAAAGATGTTGAGACTCTGGAAAGAAGAGCAACAAATGTGATTGGAGGCTAAAACATATGAAGAACAGTTACAGGAATTAGGTATGTCTAGTTTAATAAAATGAAGGGCTAGGGGAGACATGATAGCAGTGTTCCAATATTTCAAGGGCTGCCACAAAGGAGAGGGAGTCAAGCTATTCTCCAAAACACCAGAAGGCAGAAGCAGCAATGGACGGAAACTAATCCAAGAGAAAAAGCAACCTAGAACTACGGAGATAGTTAGACCAATTTAACCCATGGAACTGACTGCCTTCAGAAGTTGTGGGTGCTCCATACCTGGAAACTTTTAAGAGGAGACTGGACAGCTACTTGTGTTTCTCCAAAAATAAGATCGGGTCTTATATTAATTTTTGCTCCAAAAGGCGCATTTGGGCTTATTTTCCAGTTAGGTCTTATATGTTCGCCTGGCACACAATCTTCACGGTGGCTTATTTTGGGGGGTAGTGTTTATGTTACAAGCATCCTGTGGAAAAAAAATTAATGTAAGGGTTTATTTTCTGATTGGGTCTTACTTTTGGGAAAACAGTATTTGTCCAGAATGGTATAGGGCAGTGGTGGCTAACCTTTTTCGGCTCCCGTGCTGAAAATTGCGTGCGCGCTTGTGTATGCATGCCAGCACCCAGAAGGCAATGCGTGCTGGGCCCCTCCCCATGCTTCTCTGCGCATGCTCACGTCTCCCGTGCACCCCCACCCATGCACGCCAGATACCTGACGATCAGCTGTCGTGCGGCAGTGTGCGTGCAGTGGGACTCTTCCGGGTGGCCTCTCGCGTCCTGGCAGAAGTGGTCCTGCCTGCCATAGGTTCGCCACACGGGTCTCTCGCTTGTGACTTCCAACTCTGTTATTCATAGTCTGTTTTAATTCCTAAAAAAGCAGTACAGCACCAGCCTAATGAATTGTCACTTTATTGTATCTCAAAAGTCACTGCACATTTCGGGCGGAGCTGAAATCAGTTTCTTTTTCTTTACATCTGTCTGTATACTGGGATAATTGATGTCTGCCTGAATCCAGAAGATTAGGTGGTTGATCATTGCCAGAGCACAACTGGAGAAAAAGAAAACTACAAGCAATTTCAAGGATCAAAGCAAACAAAAGACAAGTTCATTTTCTGTGAAACCGAACAGATAAGAGGCCAAACATGTTTGTTTTATCCCTTGGACAGAATACTAGGAAATGATTCTTTCTTGACTCAGCAATTGAAGATTTTTTATAAACGATCTCAATTGTATCTCTCCAGCGAATTGTTTATTTCCTATGAAACTTTATTAATGGATGCTTGTCTAAATCATTTCTATATTCTTGTCATGTTGCTGCAGACTCAGTCACATGGAAATAAAAGCTTCTTGCTATACCTCAGCAAAGATTCTTGTCTGTGAACTTTGTTGAATGTTATCGACTTACGTTGAACTCCATTTCTGAGGGGTCCTTGTTTTCTTGCAGACGTTTCATTAGCCAAACTAGGTAACATCATCAGTGAACAAGTAAATTGAGACAGCACCAAGGGCCCCTCATGTCAACCCTGTGCTGCAAATATTCTCCTTTATTAGTACACTCCTTTCTATCAAGAAAAGGATACAAAGCGTATGTGACACCTTTTTATTTGAATTGTAAATCACAAGCATCTTTTATTAGCTTTCATCTCCAGCAAATCAACATGTCCATCTTTCAAGTTCAGAAGATATGGTAGATATTTCTACAGAGCAGTTATGATTGTTCTACTCCTTCTCAGATGTTCAACGCTTAGTATATTTTATCATCATCAAGAGAAAAAAAAAGGATGAATAAACCTGAGACATAAATGGCATTTTCAAGCAAACTATAGCTTCTTCTATTCCTACTGTATGTCAAAGGATTTGTTTTAAAGTAAGTCCCTGAAAAACACAATAATATCCCTGAACACAAATTTTTGAAAACCTGCATTATTATAGTTCCATTTTTTTTCTTTCTATATCTTCAGTTATTTGGATAATGAAAACTGCAAAAACAGAAGCTGCTAAAAACCAAACTGGCTTGTAGGACCTATGGATAATTGGAATGACTGCAGTGAATAATTTATATTTTATTAGTTCTTGGGTCCAGTTTTACTATTTTACCATTCTTGAGTTATTGCATTTTTATTTTATTAAGCTCATTTGAAAGGATAATATTCTTATTGGGAAGAAGAAATGTCTAAGGCAGAGGTCCCCAAACTTGGTAACTTTAAGGCTTGTGGACTTCAACTCCCAGAATTCTCCAGCCAGCAGAGCTGGCCGAGAAATTCTGGGAGTTGAAATCCACAAGTCTTGGGGACCCCTAGTCTAAGGGTTCTGCATGTTTTCAAGCATGCTCTCTCTCTTAGATAACAGCAGCATCTCTCTAGCAGCCTGTTGCTTTTCCTGCCTCAATATATGAACAAAGTTGCAGCTGCATTAATGAGATGGTTCATTAAAGGTAATGTGATTTTTTTTAAAAAAGTAACTTTTCAGACTCACACAGAATTCTGAAAAACATCAAGAATGATATCTCATAAATGTGGTTTCACTTGGCTTCAAGTTGACTAGACCAACAATCTTCTTGTTCAACTTTATACATCTGTTAAGTATCATTACCTATAGTACTGTTTAAACATAATGTTTCCTTCACAGTAATTCCAAGAAGGCAAAGCAGCCTATTAAATATTTTGAAATATAGGTAATTTCACACCCTTAAGCAAAAGATTATTTCTGTAACTTTGATAGCACATAATGTTTGAATGTTTGTGAATTTCTGCTGTACACATTTTATATGCCTGTGATATTTGAAAAAAAATATGTCACAATGGATACGGAGCGATATTGCAGGCTGACTCTGCCCACTGCCAGGAGTTCGATTCTGAGTAGCACAAAGTTGACTCAAGCCTTCCATCCTTCCAAGGTCAGTAAAATGAGGGTCCAGATTGTTGGGGGCAGTACGCTGACTCTGTAAACCGCTTAGAGAGAGCTGTAAAGCACTATGGGGTGCTATGCCTACGTGCTATTGCTATACATACCTGCCTGGTTTTATCTGGTCAATATCGGTGCAGGAAACCAAAACTAGGCATTATTATCTTGATGCTAGAAAGGACCTGTCAGAATACAGGCAGGCGATTTTCTACACTTACGTCTCAAAGCCAACTTGGTGACAATTGAATCACAAAAACTATTTAGAAGTTTCAAATCAAGAAAAACAGTATATAACTTTAAAAATCATCTCTTCTTGAAGCCTGAAATTATGTTTATTGGGATATCTTTTTCAGAAATAACTACTGTTATTATAACAATAGCACTTAAGACTTATATACCACTTTATAGTGCTTTACAGCCCTCTCTAAGCGGTTTACAGAGTCGGCCTATTGCCCCAACAATCTGGGTCCTCATTTTTCTCACTTCAGAACGGTGGAAGGCTGTGTCAACCTTGAGAGCCTGGTGAGATTTGATCTGCCAAATTGCAGGCAGCCAACAGTCAGCAGAAGTAGCGGGCAGTACTGCACTCTAACCACTGTGCTACCGTGGCTCTATTATTGGTTCACCTTTTCATTCACAGCTAAAACACTGAGCACTGTATCCTGTAGTAGATTATTATAAAAAGGCTCTTTTCTCACAATTTCAGAACCATGTTTTTTTATATAATATACTTTATTATAGCATATTTTATGCAGACATCAGCTGCATAATCTGTGCAGATCAAAATAACATTTATTCTTTCAATAAAGAAAAACACAATTATTCCATTTTCTTAACAAAATCATTCTGTACAATTCTCTTTGCTATATCATCAAAATCATAGACAATCTTAATGTTTGAAAATTAGCAACTACTACGAGTCTATATGCATGAATGCAAGCCAACATGCCAAACCCTTTTTCTACATTATTTCAGTTGTCAGAAACGACTTGGAGTATCATGGATGGCAAAAGCGGAGATCCACGCTTCTTCAAGCTCTCACCCAGAGGGAGGTTTTTATTTTCTTCCAAATGGATCAGACCACACTTTTAATCCTATAGGTAAACATACGATTAGAGCATTTAGAATGATTCCTTTTAATATCGGTATCAGTGCAAGGAGATCGTTTCCAGTTGTAAGCATGTGTACATCAAAGGGAAAACCTCCACAATTATTATAATTTAAATAACAAAACAAGCACTGTGCCCCCTCCCACCAAAAAACACAGTCAGATCTCTTATTTAAAATTGGAAAATGAGTCTCAGGTGAGAGTGATTCAGAAATGATGTCCCTACATGTTTACATTAGAATATGTAGTTTTCCTATGAGGGTAATTAATCTAAGACTCTGGTTAGCCTTTCTCTGTGTGAAATTTTCATCAACTGATCAAGTAAGATTGTCCACAGTTCTTGCTGAATGATACACTGTATAATAACTCAGGCTAGATGTAACTGTTTTGAGAAATAAGCATCAAATACAGGAGGATGGTTGGGGAACACAACTGTCTCCGAGACAAAATGCTGTGGGAAAAGAGTAGTGGAAGAAATAACAACTATTCATTTGAGTAATTTAAACAGATTTTCTCGGAAAGAAATTCCACTCTTAAATCTAACTCATTTATTTTGAGATTTACAGGCTGCCTGACTCTGACAATGTGATTCTGGGAGGATTTACAATATACAATAATTTAAATAACTAACAATGAACAATATATAAATATAAATACCAAAGCTAAAAGCTAAAATATGAAATGACATTTCCCAGTAAATAAACCTAGCAATAAACTCATTATCCAATAAGCATGTTTAGGATTGTAGCAGGAAAAAACATTAGCCGGCAGTAATCAGTAACTTGGAACACTAATGCACATACTAGTTTCTCAAATAGTTACTTAATAAATGAATGAGGGACAAAATATGGTGAAAAAGAGACTTCAGGGGAACTTGGTTAACCTACAGAGACCTACTTTTTAGTTTTATTTAATAGATTTGAATCCTCACAAATGTTGGTTGTAGACAATGAGTCCAATCAGTAACAACGCCGATAAACTTTGTTAATGTGTTATTTCCTAACTAGGCTGTAGTAACTAAAATCCTCCCCCTCCATTTCATCTCAAAAGGGAAAGTAACTGAGTATCAGTAGAATAGAGAAGGTATTTTGTTAAAAGAGTGCATAGTTTTGTAAGTATCTAAATTAGCGCTGTGAACGCTCAAAAACAAAGCCAGTAGTTCTAAAAATGGCAATACGATAATGCATTGTAAAATACAAATATGTTGAGCTCATAATTTAAGTGCTAAAATACTTATGAAGCCAGTTGCTTTATAACATTTGAAGCAATTGAATCAGGATATAACTAGAACATGGATAACTCTGACCAGGTTTTCCCTGCCTAGGAATAGATGAATAGTATTGTCTACACTAGGGCGTCTATTTCAAAGTTAAATGTAAGAGGAAAAACAAACTTAAAATCTGCTTTGTTGATTAGTACAAACCACTGTGTGGCTGGATGAATCCCAATTCTTCACACAGGGAAAATCAGTTAAGCATAGCACTTCTATTTCTTGGAATATTTTACTTACTGGCCTGTATCCAACCCACTAAAATAGATTTCATACAGCTGAGTTCACTAATCATCCTCACCAATAGGGGATTTAATAACTTTCCTGCATTAACCCAAATGTTCTGGATTTACATGGCCTTGTAAGCCACAAAACCAATTAGATAGGCTGAGCTTGCACAACGAACCAAGAAAAATGTGGTTGGCTAATTTGTGCAAACACAATTTCAGTAATTTAGCTGACAAGGAAAAGAGCTGGATAACATCACATAGTGGAAGGATTTCACAAAGATACCCTACAGAATTACAGAAAGGGAATAAGAAACTGCAAGAAGGAGGAACTAAAAGCATGAAGGAGAAAATACAATTAAATCTAGTTACTAACACATGCTTTTCTATCTTGAAAATCATCCTTCCTTTGACTATATCCACATCGCACATTATTTTGTTCTTTAAGCTTCTCACTTGTTTCATTTGAAGATTTTTGTCAATTCCACTAATCATGACTTCCTGTCTTGTACCTCCTCTCCACCTGTTCACTCTTCTCTTTCTTCATACAATTATTTTATAATTCATTCCCCACTCTTTCCATATAACTAAAATCTCAATGACCATACCCTAAATACAAAAATAAGTGACCTGGTTAAAAAAAATGCACATCTTTGTGCTGATACAGTTGTACAACAAAAATCTGGATTTCCACACTGCATTTCCCACATTGTTAATAAGCCTCCTATTGCTCTTACAGTCATTCTTGCTACAGGAAATCCTCGACTTACAATCATAATTGGGATCGGCATTTCCTTTAATAAGCAAGGGGCCAAGTTAGTTGCAACTGATTTTATGACCTACTTGCCACAGTTGTTAAGTGGATCACGCCATCCTAAATACATGCCAACTGCTGATCTCTGACCACACAACCCTGGGGGATGTTTGCTAGCTGTACGACATTGCCTGTATCCCATCTTCCAAAGAAAGTATGCTGAGTACTGATAATCACCCTTGAGGTATATTTTCTTCCAATTTCCCCCAAAACCTTTAGGCAGTTTGCTTATGTATCATACAGGTAGTCCTTGTCTTAAAACAGTTCGCTTAGTGAACATTCAAAGTTACAACGGCACTGAGTAAAGTGAGTTATGATCAGTTTTCACACTTATGACCACTATGGTCCCATGATCAAAATTCAGACACTTGGCAACTGACTCATATTTATGACTGTTGCAGTATCCCGGGATCATGTGATTCCCTTTGTCATGCCCCTGTTGGAGTCTGATTCCGAGGGGTTCGAACAGCTGACAGCGAGTGGGAGTGTGGCCCCAGTGGCTGTGGAGGAAACTGGGGAAGGGCACAACCCGGGTGGGCATTCAGAGGAAGGCCAAGGCCCACCTCCTCTTCATCCTAGGGCACGCAGGGAGGAATGGATAAGGAAGCAACTTGGGTTACAGGGGAGAAAAAGGCCCTGATTCCCTTCATTAGCTGCAGCTGGGAAAACAGGATAAAAAGGGTGTTTGCACACAGAGCCTTGCTGGAAGCAAAGCATGTATTATCTTTGTCAAGTTTTATCTGGGTTCTGGTGTCCTCCCAACTGTGTGTGTTTCGTTATCTTTTGAAGTCTGCAATTCCTTATCCTGCCTTGTCTTGTTAATTGCTGCAGCGTGGTTTGTGTTGTTTTTTTTATTTATCATTTATATGCACTTTGGGTTCAGACTGAATTTCTTCCCTTTGAAAACTGTTCTTGAGAGTTTTTTCTCCAGCCGATGATAACTGGACATTGGGGGCCAAATTGGAGGAATTAAAGGGACTTTACCTACTTTTGTGACTTTGTTGCTTTTGTGTCATGCCATTACACCCTTTTCTGACCTTCTGACAAGCAAAGTCAGTGGGAAGCCAGATTCACTTAACTGTGTTACCAACAAATTAAGAAATGTAGCAAGAAAGGTCATAAAATAGGGCAAAACTCACTTAACAAATATTTCAATTAACAACAGAAATGTTGGGCTCAACTGTGGTCATAAGTTGAGGACTACCTGTATTTAGAAACAAAAGTAAGTAGTAAAAAACATTACTAATCTCTCACTCATGGGCATCTTTATCTGCAAGACTCCATTACAGGAACTCATTCTGATAGTTGCAGAGTCAATTCTTTCACTTATTTTAAAAAGCTAAGTGTTTTATGCAATAAAATCAGACTCTGACCCATGCTAAAATGTGTTTTTATAATTTACTAGTTTACCAATCAAACACGATTCAAGTAACAGTTATGACTTCGGAGTGTGCTAGACTATACATTAGGCATGTTTTAGGCTAATGTCCTATACAAAGCTGATTGTTGAAGTGCAACATATTATGCAAAACCAGAAAACTGGACTGAATAAACAAACTGAATTAATTATGGGCAAATATTTTATGAGAATTCAATTGATCTGTCTCACCCAAGAGAACCTGAAGTTAAACAGCTGCCACCTGTTTGAGGACTCTGTCTCTAAATGAAGTACTCATAAAATAGTGATGGTAGTGTGAGAGAGTGAGTGTTGCTTTTGTAGAGGACAGCCATTGCTGACAAACAGCTTGAGACAATCTGTCCCTTGAACAATACGAAGAAATATTGTGTGCTTCTGGGAGAGCTTTTCAGGGAAACAAATAACAGCTGTGTCTCAAAGGAGGTATCTTAATATAGAGCACAGGAGTATTTACATGTTTTCCATCTTTTCAACAAAAGAGGCATAAATTAAGGTCCAAGCTGCCCCTGTTTTCCAATTTATATTTTCAAAATTGAGCAGGAGTAAAATACATGGAGGTGACAAATAGCGCACAGTCGGAACAATTTTCTAAGCAGCAGAAGAATGACTCAACCAAGTAGAAACTATCAACTTAAAAATGTATCCCATATCTTCAGGCTGGATTCCAAATTAAACTCCACTGCTTATCAGTTTGGGGATATTTATTTAAACCATAACATAACAGACACACCTCAATTAGTAATTTAGAGATATACCTGGAGGCTGTACATCTTCTTGGATAATGCCGGCTCGATTTATACTTTGTGTCTTTTCTAATAAATATAAAATACATAAGTAGGTAAAATGCACACTTAGTTGACTTACTGCTCAATATTCATGAATATGTTAAATGTGGCGTTTAAGGCTAAGTCTCACAACAGCTATTTCTTATCCTGTATTTGCTTCCTGCTCTCAGACCAGAACCCAAACACCATTCTATGCAATTTTGTCTTAATTTTTTTAATTTACTCTTGAACGCTTTTACTTTGTTCTTCCATCTTTCCTACGTTGCATCTGGCTCTTATTTCCCATCAGACTTTGTTGCTGACCAGGCTAAGATTTTGCTTATGTAAACTTATATAAATATGTCCATGTCCCTATATATTCACCTAATAGCATAGTACTCAATGATAACAATTGAACCTTACTCAGAACTTTTTATTTAATTCATCACCCCTATAGATGCCATATTCTAAATCAGGGGGTCGCCAAACTTGACAACTATAAGACTTGAGGACTTCCAACTCCCACAGTTCCTCAGCCAGCACAGTTTGGAGACCTCTGGTCTCAATAAATAAATAAAATACCTCATAATACCACCAGTTTGGTTTTTTTTAAAGGAGAGGGCCGCGTCTTGAGGCTGCCCTCTCAACTGACTTTAGAGGATGGGGGAAGCAAACTAGTCCCAACCGCTCTTCTAAGCCAGCTCTGACCTCCCCTCGAGGCTTCGACCCACAGCGTCCCCTTCCCTTCCACCCCCACAAGGAAAGGCCGCGCGTGCCCTCCCTTACTGTAGTCCCCCAGGTGGCTCATGGGGTAAAAGAAGATGGGGTAGAGGGTCAGGCCCACCGCAGCAGCGAAGCCGCCGAAGATCACGACGTAGCGCCCGAGGGGCGCCATTTCTACCCGGCCGGAACCGGAAGCCTGCTTTTCTTCCGCTTCCGGTTCCTGCGCGCTCAACCGGCCGGGCGGCGCTTGAATGGCCGTACGGCATCCCCGCCCAGAGCGTCGGCGCCTGACCCCTAGTGGCAGAGGCCGGGAAAATCATGAGGTTTCGCTGTGCTGCGCTGGTGGGGGGAGAGGCGTGAAAAAGGGAGCCGAGAGTTTCAAAAAGCGGCGTTGGATCTCCGAGATCACCAAATGATTTTGTCAGATTCCCCAAGACTGTTTTGGGTGGGCTGGAGGAAGGGCCGGAAGGAGAGCAGGCCGAGGAACGGAGGGGCTGCTGCGCTCGCTTGGGCGGGCTGGTTTCCTGGCAGACGTCTCGCTGCCGGACTGGGTAACCTCATCACTGCTGCGAAGGAGGGGGATTTGCTCTCCGCTTCTCTTCGGGGTGGGGGTGGGGTCGGCTCGTTATTGACTGGTCTGCTGGTCTGCTGTTGACCTTGGAGTTGATCCCTGGGGTCTGATTAGACGGGATTCACAGCCGACCAACAATCCAGGCAAGGAACCCCCCCCCCCCCCCCCCCTCAAGGAACTCCCAAGGAAGCCATCAGCAACCAGCCCCACCAAAGGACTCCAAGACCATCATCCCCACCAGCACTGACAGGGAAGCCCCTTCAATACAAACACTGTACAACCCATTTGTCTAAAAATAAGACAGGGCCTCCTGCTTGAGCAGGGGGTTGGACTAGACGACCTCCAAGGTCCCTTCCAGCTCCGTTCTGATCGATTGAAACGGTGGGGGTCTCCAACCTTGGCAACCTTTTAAGACTTGTGGGCTTCAGCTCCCAGAATTGGCTGGCTGAGGAATTCTGGGAGTTGAAGTCCACAAGTCTTAAAGTTGCCAAGGTTGGAGAGCCCTGATATAAACTGAGAGCAGACCCCCCCCCCACTTCCCTTCTAAGCGCTGATGGTGTTACCTAGCTGGGTCATGAAATGTCTGCAAGAAAACAAGCAAGCTCAGAGAGCACCAAGGACCCCTCATGTCCACCCCAAGCTACAAATATTCTCCTTTGTTGAAGCTTTGCTTAACTGGTTTCCCTGTCTGAAGGATTAGTGTTCCCCCAGCCACCCACTGGTTTGCATGAATCTCGGGGGCTGTGAAAATCTCTGCATACCCCCTCACATCCTGGACATAAACTGTTTCAACTCCTTCCCTCAAAACAACGCGAAAGAGCCCTGCACACCAGAACAACTGGACACAAGGGCAGTTATGTCCCAAAAGCCATCACTGCTAAACAAATAATTCCCTCAACACTGTCCAATTATTTACAAAGTCTGCACTATTATTACTATTAATCTTCTCATCACTCTTTATCACCCATCCCCTCCCACTTGTGACTGTATGATTGTAACCTTGTTGCTTTTGTCCTAACAATTTTTATTGACTGTTTCCTCATCCAACTCCACCCCATCCAATCCAACATCACTCAAAACTTGGCACGCACGCCCCTAACTACCTCTATTCCAACCACAACTGGCCTTAAATGCAAGCTACTCAGTGCAAGAAGCCTGGTAAATAAAATACCTGAATTTCTCCTCTTACTAAATATGGCTAAATTCGACATTATATTTGTCTGTGAAACATGGCTCAACGCATCTGTCCCTGACTCCATTACCACAGTAAGAGACTATCATGTTTACCAATCAGATCGTGAAATCCGTAGAGGAGGTGGTGTTGCTATCTTCTATAAAAAGTCCCTACATCTAAAAAACATCCAAGTAAGGAGCTTGCTATTCCTGAGACCATCGTCTGTGAACTGTCCTTAAATATCACATTTTGGTTCTTACTATGTTACAGAGCCCCTGATTATGACATCGAACATGCAAACAAGCTAAATACACTACTAACATGGGCAGCATCCTGCCAACACGCTTTTATCTTTCTTGGTGACTTCAATCTACCTCATATTGACTGGACCCTTAATGAATGTACAACTGAACCCACACATGCAACCTTCTACAATGCAGTAACAAATCTGGGACTAGAACAACTAGTAACCAACAACACTAGACTTAACAACTGCCTCGATCTCATCTTCTGCAATAGTTTGAATTCAATTTACGGAATACAAATTAAAGAACCCTTTTCCAACAGTGACCACAACATGATTGACTTTTGTCTCAACATACATCCACACAAAAATCATCACGACGACGGAATCCCCAACTATAACTTCAAAAAAGGCAACTATGATCTTATAAACAATGATCTCTCATCCCTTGATTGGCAATTTCTATTCTCTGGATGCAATACTGTACAACACATTACAACACATTTTTACTTGAAGTCAAAAGAGTCATCAAACTATATGTACCAACAACTCCCAAAACCAGAAAAAACAAACTACCCAAAACAATAAGGAACCTCCAATCCAAAAAGAAATCACTTTGGTGGAAAAACAAATCTGGTTACGTTGTCAACTTCAAAAGCCGATACAAAAATTTATACCACCAGATAAAAACTGAATGCACCAATTATCACATTAAACAAGAAGAAAACCTATCCACCAATTCCACCCATGCTTTCTACAATTGTATAAACAACAAACTAAAAAATTCAAGGTCCATCCCACCCCTGAAAGGACTTAATGGTAAAGACTGCAACGACGACACTATTAAACCCAACCTCTTTAACACATTCTTTGGCTCAGTATTTGAAAACAGCAATGGATCATGCCTAGTATTTCCTAGTCGAACCACAGACAACTACAATGATCTAATACATATCGATTTTACAGAAGACATTGTTGAAAAAGCACTGCGCAATCTAAAACAATCTCTATCTATTGGACTGGACGGAATATGTGCCTACTTCTTAAAAAAGCTACCCACTGCCATAGCCGAACCTCTAAGCATAATCTTCGAAAAATCTTTCAGGACCAGCTCCTTGCTAAAACTATGGTCACAAGCCACGGTCATCCCCATCTTCAAAAAGGGAGACCCCAGCCTAGTTGAAAATTACAGATCAATCTCTTTATGCTGCATCACCTGTAAAATCATGGAATCAATTATTAACCATTCCATCATCCTCCACTTAGAAACAAACAACCTACTCTCTAATAAACAATTTGGTTTTAGGAAAAAACTATCATGTAATCTGCAACTCTTACACTGCAAAAACATATGGACTACACAACTGGATAAGGGCAAAGCAATAGACACAATCTACATAGACTGCTGTAAAGCCTTTGATTCAGTGGTACATGACAAACTACTCCTAAAACTAAAATCTTACGGTATCTCTGGACACCTGCATAACTGGATAGAAGCATTCCTGTCAAACAGACAACAAATGGTCAAAATTGGGAGTGTCCTATCAAATTCTGTACCTGTCAACAGCGGTTGTGTTGAAGGCAGTGTTCTAGGACCAACTCTTTTCATACTCTACATAAATGACCTCTGTGATCATATCAAGAGCAACTGCGTTCTCTTCACTGATGATGTAAAGCTATTCAACACCACAGACAATACTGCTACTCTTCAAAAAGACTTCGACTATGTATCAGAATGGTCAAACAAATGGCAACTTCAAATCTCAACAAACAAATGCTCTGTCTTAATAAAAATCAGAAAATAAAATACAGGCTGAATAGTGATGATCCAAATTCTGTCAAGAATCTTGGAGTACTCATCTCAAATGACCTAAGTGCTAGAGCCCACTGTAACTACATAGCCAAAAAGGCGTTAAGAATTTTTAACCTAATCTTATGTAGCCTTCTCTCTGGTAATATTACACTAATAATAAGAGCATACAAAACATTTGTTAGACGAATATTCGAATACAGCTCATCAGTCTGGAACCCACATTACGTATCTGATATTAACACAGTTGAGAAAGTCCAGAAATATTTCACAAGAAGAGTTCTTCGCTCCTCTACTCATTGCAGAATACCTTATGCCACCAGACTCAAAATTCTAGATCTAGAAAACCAAGAACTACGCCACCTTTGGTCCGATCGAAGTATAGTATATAAAATCATACATTGCAATGTCCTACCTGTCAATGAATACTTCAGCTTCAACCATAACAACACTAGAGCAAACAATAGATACAAACTCAAGGTTGATTGCACCAAACTTGATTGCAGGAAATACGAGTTCAGCAACAGACTGGTCAATGTCTGGAATACTCTATCTGACTCTGTGGTTTCTTCCCCGAACCCCAAAAACTTTAACCTTAGACTGTCTACTATTGACCTCACCCCTTTCCTAAGAGGTCTGTAGGGGGCGTGCATAAGCGCACCAACGTGCCTACCGTCCCTGTCCTATTGTTTCTTTTATATATTTTTTAATTTTTCTTATATGTATCCATGTATTCATAACTATGTTTTTACTTGTACCTATTATCTTGTAAGCAATTGACAAAAATAAATAAATAAATAATAAATAAATAGTATGATTTGATTATTTATTGTATCTTATGACTATTAAGTGTTGTACCTTATGATTCTTGACTCTTGATGAATGTATCTTTTCTTTTATGTACACTGAGAGCATTTGCACCAAAACAAATTCCTTGTGTGTCCACATCACACTTGGCCAGTAAAGAATTCTATTCTATTCTATTCTATTCTATTCCATTCTATTCTATTCTATTCTATTCTATTCTTCATTTCACTATTCTATTCTATTCTATTCTATTCTATTCTATTCTATTCTATTCTATTCTATTCTATTCTATTCTTCATTTCACTATTCTATTCTATTCTATTCTATTCTATTCTATTCTATTCTATTCTATTCTATTCCATTCCTGCCACAAGCCATACTTCAAAATGGAGAGGGAAGTGAGACAATAATAAATTAATAAGTAAATAAGAGCTGCTAAATATTTAAAACTAGTTTGGAAAACTGGCAAATGCCACCTCTGACTGGAGATTTTACAGTACCCTTCCCCTGCCACACCCACCAAGCCACTCCCACAGAACCGGTAGTAAAAAAAATTGAATCTCACCACTGACTTAAACCCTGCCTACTCCTTTCTCCCCTCAGTACTTG